GCTTGTTGACTCCAAGGTGTGAAATCTTCGAGGCCATAAGCGTCAGTTGCAAGTAATTCAGTGTCCCCATCTGTTTAGTCTATCTAGTCAAGAATGTTGATTACTCTCCTCCAAACTAGTTAAAAGGTCTATCCAGAGACAGGCGCTTCAGAATTGATTGTGGCAACTCTACCGTGTAGTCAGACCTCTGGCTCTGGACTTGCTTTGTGAATTCTCCGGCCAATACTCCATCAGTGTAACCATCAGTGTTTGACATCAAAGCTCCAGCTCTCCTCATGTCTCCTTTTGAGTCAGTGACTCCCCTGCATTGCACCACAGAAGTTTTCCCCACACTAAGGATGCAATTATGGTGTTAAAGAGGAAACATATTAACTCTGGTGAGAGTCAATGGATGTTTGACAGGCATGTTCACATCCTTCCAGTTTTTTTCCACATTCACTTGCAAAAATTGAGGTAATGAAGCATGAAATGTCTCCTTATACTCAATGTATTGCTCATGGGCAACATCTGAACCAAAAAGAAGAAGTCCAAGTAGTATGTGTGTATGTAGTATGTACACAACACACATGCTTTTCAATAATTCTCCTATTTGTTGAATAACTATGGCTATGGAACCCAGTTGTTGTTTCTTCATTGGTAAAATGTCTCCTCTGTATCCGCTCTATTCTACAAACTGATATTTACGCAATCGTTAGATATTTTTACATACTTGCTCTGTACCAAGGCCTACAATACTTTCTTAAAAAAGAATACATTGAGTATATAAACTTACTTTTGGTTAGTGCAAAAGTCCTGATTTAATTTCTCAAACTTAATGGACAATGTGTGATTATTGCAACATGTGGGCAGAGAGCACACTGGGCCTTTAAGAGAGTGCCGTCATGAAATCTGAATCCGAACTTGAAGCAATGTTTCATTTCAGTCCTTCCAGAGCTGCACACACGTGACTGAGGCAAACAACATGTAACATTACTTTACTCACAAAGTACAACATAATCCCAATAGATCTAATAAGGAATATCAATGTAATTCAATGTACAGTATGTCTCTATCATGTCTTAAATTACAACACTGTCCTGACCAGGGAAACCTTCTGACCTACTTGCTGTCGGCAACAACACTGTCTATTTTGGGTTGGCAGCTCAGAGGGCCACAGCAGAGGAGGGGGTGCATATCTTAGTGTCCTGCAATCTCTCGGACCTTCTCTAATAAAGCTGACTGACCAATTCAGCAACATCAACAACACATGGAAATTTACTCGTCTTTTTAGACTGAAGATTACCAAGGAGCTAATGATTATGGTAAGGCTTTAAAAGGGCATGCTGTAAGACAAAGGACAGATGTGGTGCTAAGTTATAAGAGTGTACAGGCTATATGGACAATGGTGGTGGACATTTGGCTAGTATTGAATATATTTAAGGCTAATAGAAAATGTATATTTTTAGAATCAGAGCAGAATTTTGATTACCGTGGCCATAAAAACAACAATAACAATGTTATCGCAATATAAATAGAAGATAATAATAATGATATTAATAATGCTAATAATGCTAAAAATAATTATATTATAAAAATAATTATACAAATATAAGCAAAATGATCTTCAATTGTTTGTCTGTTTTTGGCACATTAGTCTAATTTGTGCCAGATAGAAGAAAAAAAAACGAAATCATTATTTATAATGTATGTAATATTATATGTGTGTTTTTTAGATGACATAACATTTATTTTTAAATATCATGGTTATTATCCATTCTGGTTTATTGGGATATTCTTTAATGTTAACAAATGTTGAATAGAAGTTTTAGTATTAATTATACTTTGAACTACTGTTTCTTATGATATTGATGGCTTCTAATCATTTGTTTTCTTCTTGTTTTTCTAGAGACAATCTCCTGACTAGGTGTTCAGATTGCATAACACTTCCTAACTTTTGTAAATATTACTGTCACTAAAAAGTTGAGGTGAAATGGATGTTACCTCCAAACATGGGCTGGTGCTGCTCAACCAGCTGAGGAAGATGAGGGAGAGCGAGCATCTGACGGATGTGGTGCTGGTTGCTGAGGGAATCAGCTTCCCCTGTCACCGGGTCGTTTTGTCCGCTTTTAGTCCTTACTTTCGTGTTATGTTCACCTGCGGCCTTCGCGAATGCAACACTAGAGAAATAGTTCTGCGTGACACCCCTGCAGACAGCCTGGCCCTCCTGCTGAACTACATGTACTGCTCAGATCTTGCTCTCACCAACGCCAATGTGCAAGGCATCTCTATTGCATCTTTTCTCCTGCAGATGGACGACGTCTTCCATCGCTGTCAGCTGCACATGACCGAGAACATGGATGCTTCCAACTGCCTCGGTGTGTATTACTTTGCCCGTGACCTTGGAGCGGAGGATTTAGCTGAACATGCTCAGCGCTTTCTTGGGCAGAACTTTGTCCAAGTCTGCCAAAATGAGGAGGTCCTGGAGCTGGAGGCCCATCAACTGGGAAAGCTGCTGACCTCTGATGACCTTAACGTTTCACAAGAAGAGACCATCCTGGATGTGGTCCTCCGCTGGGTCAGACACTGCACTGTGGAAGATGGAGAGGTCCGTAATCTGCACCTTCCTGAACTCCTGAGGAAGGTCCGTCTGCCGCTGATACACCCTGACAATTTGAAAGAGGCGATGAAGAGGAACACGGCCCTGCTGTCTGACGCTGAGTGTCTTGAGATGCTCAATCAAGCCTTGGATGTCACAGCGATGCACCCCTCAGCAGCGCCACGCAAGCTAAAGCTGCGCTACGGCATGGAGACCACAGACCTGCTGCTCTGTATTGGAAACGATGGTGGTGGGATTAGATCGAGATATGGCAGCTTTGCTGAGCGCAGCTTCTGCTATGCCCCATCCACAGGCCGAACCTACTACATCACTTCACCTCGCTACGCAGAGGCTCTGGGGTTTGTGTGTGCCGGGGTTGTTACTGAAAAAAATGACATTATAGTCGCAGGAGAAGCAAGACCTCGCAAAATGGCCCGACAGAAAGACATTAACGTTGAGATTTACAGGTAAGACATTAGATGACACATTTGATAACTGTGTATTTGCTTACCCCACTCAGATGGCACTGATTGTTTTCCCTGTTGGCCAGGTACAAAGTGGAGGCGCAGGGAAGTTGGGAGTGCCTGTCGTCAGCAGAATATCGAGACTCTTACGCTCTGGCATCACTGGGGGAAACTCTGTACCTGCTGGGGGGGCAGATGAAGCTGAAGAACCAGCTTCTCATCACTAACTGTGTGGAGCGGTGGTCTTTGCAAGGAGGGCCGTGGCGCAGTGCAGCGCCCCTGCCTCTGCCTTTAGCCTATCACAGCGCAGTCGGGATGAAAGATCGCCTTTATGTGATCGGGGGTCGAACACCACAGGTAATATCAAAACATCTTAACATTATTTTAATAGCTAAAAGAAAACGTACAACCATTTTAGTCTTACATTTAAAGTGAATGTGACTTTTAAAACCTGCAAAAACCATGAGTGTCTGTATGTGACCCCTCTCTGACTGCTTTGTCTCCCCCTCCCTCCCCTTCAACCACCCAGTCATACCGGACGGATGATGAGCCGGACCGTCTCAGTAACCGACTGCTGGAGTATGATCCAAACATAAATAAGTGGACAGAGTTAGGACCCATGAAGTACTCAAAGTATCGCTGCAGTGCCGTTGTACTCAATGGTGACATTTATGTGATGGGTAAGATTATGTATTGTTTTCTTTTTAATCTCTCTTGGTATGCAATATTGAAACAATATTTGTGATGATCCTTTTAGAGGGTGTTGACTGATAGCACATTTTCTATAGATATTACAATATTGTAGGGAAACTCTGATTGTGCTGCACTTATTCTGCTAAACAAATGAAACTTTATTGATTCATGTTAGAAATAGTTTGAGAGAATGAAGCCATTTGCTGATGAAATATGGATTTTGCAGGTGGTATTGGTTGTGAGGGCAGTGACTGTGGGCAATCACGCCACTGCCTTGATGCTGTGGAGATCTACAACCCAGATGAAAATAAGTGGAGGGATGGACCTCCTCTCCCATTCGCACAGCTCTCTCTGCGCACCAATGCCTCAAACGCAGGAGTGGTGGGAGGCAAGATCTATGTGTGTGGATACTACAAAGGAGCAGGTAAGAAAGAATATCCGTATCCATTTAATTAAAAGATGCTTGAAAGATGTTTCCATGGGACTGAAATTTGTTTCATTACTACTTTTAGATCGTCATGACGATATAACAAAGGACATTTTGGAGCTGGATCCGTGGGGGGGGCCGGTGGACTGTGGTGGCTCGGCACGCTCTGATGCATGACAACTATGACGTCTGCTTAGTTGCAAGTCTCAACCCGAGGGGACTCATGTCCCCACCTGCAGACTTAGTTAAACAGTGACCCCCCCCTCTCAGATCAGGCCAAAGTCTGTGAGGGAGAATTAGCAAAGGAAATGAATGATTCATTATTAATGCACTTAATGCTGGGCCAAAGGCGTTCATCGTTTTCCTGCATGGAAGAGGATCTGCAGTTAATGATTTGCACGCTGTCGCAAGAGATTCTCCTGTTAATGAGAATACAAAAGAACATTTGTAAATACAGTTATTGTCATTTTGTATCTTATTGCGCAAGATCTGCAGATTGATCCCCTAAAACCTGCAGCTGTGTGGCACAAAATTATCAGCAACACAAAATGATTTCTTTCGACATCAAGACATACATATATGGTACAGAAATACCACAGATAAATAGAAAAAAACATCTCTATGGATAAGAATAATGTTTGTGCCTAAAAACAATGACTGAAACGATTATGCCAAGGAATTTTCTGTCAATCAATAATTTTATGGCAATGTCAATTTACTATAAATAAGTTGACATGTCATACATAGTTGAATATCGTATTCATTAATGAGTTTGTTCTTTTGATGGATGCTTGCTAAAGCAAATGTGTTCTGCTAATAAACAAACTACACGTTAGCAATATTATGGAAAACGTTTGTTTATTTGAATACAGTTGTTTGTTTATTTACATTGTGTACTCAGAAGTGTAAGTACAGAATACATTAGTTATTAATCAAATACATATCTCAGCAGAAATAAGTTTAAAGATGTATTTGTAGGTTAGTCATTTCTTAACTTATTTATTAGTACCTTTTTACATCCCTCTACAGCTTTTTGAACATTAAACAAACTGAAAAACTTTACAACTAGTATAATAGGTCCAGAGTAAGGATAATTAGAACAACACACATTTCAGGCTTTTACTCTGAAAATAACAAAAATGTTACGCTTCATACTCTTTTACTCCTCCTCTAATAGCCTAAATCAGAACTCCCATCTATATCAAACAGCTGCCAGAGGCCTTCGGGTCTCACTGGGGTCACCGCTTTGGACTCAGCCGAGGGTTTCGCGAAGATGGAACTGTTGCTGTCCTGAGACCAGCAGCTGAGTGGGGTGATGTAACACCCTTCAGCTATTGATCTCACCTTCCTGGTTGGCAGTATTCGACGTTCCAGAACGAGATGGTCCCGTCTTGGTACCATGTTCGGATCACGACGCTCACATCGAGGTGTAGTAACATGTTGTCCTTTGAGTGGTTGACTGTTTTCATTTGTGACAGTGCCCTTACTCCTCTGTGAGAGCACAAGCGGCCTCTTTCTGCACTTCCTCTGGCCTCTCTGAGGGACTTTCCTCTTTCCTATGATGCCACCCTGAGGGGGAACTTGAGCCTGATTGCGCTCACGGTTGTATGACTTGCATATTAGCTGTGTGCCTTCAAGCTTGTTCTCCTGTAGGATGTTGGAGAAAGACTGTTCGAGCTCTGGTGATGTCTGGTTGGCACTGTCCGTCACCCTCTCAGAGCTGGCTTTGGCTGAGTGCTCTGAGACTAAGGTGCTGAGCAGCTTCAGAGCCTCTTCCAGCATGTTTCGCTCTCTCTCCTGCTCCTCTCTCAGACAACCCAGATCATCCTTTAAGCCTTGCAGATTTGAACCAAATGCCACCGTGGTGTAACAAGCCTAAATGGTCAAATGTACATTTATACATCTGGAAGCCAACCAAATACACTTTCACCTCAATTAATCTGCAGCAATCTTGATTATAAGTTTCAATATTGTTCACCTTTTGCATCTTGTCTTCGAGTTCAGCCATCAGCTCTTTCTGGGAGTTCACTTTAGTCAGTAAAGCCTCAAACTGCTGGGAAATGTCAATCTGAAGACTGTTGATATTAGTTTGCACTGTGATAAATGGGAATAAAAGATATATCAGGGTATATGCAGGAATCCTGAAGTCAAATTTAATTGAAAGACCCTTTCCATACATTTTAAGACCTCATCGCCACTTCGAGTTTTAACCGGTTACATTGGCGACACATTTACTATATACAGTATTGATTGTCCTTCCTCCTTATCTTCCAACCATTTGGACGCAAACTTGCATTTCCCCATAACGATGTTGTTTAACAACCGGCGTGAACGGACCTTCGCGCGCTATCAAGCAGTGAGCGTGCGATGTCCTGTTCAGATGACGTCAAATCCAACGGGATGCCATAAATAAACTACACAGATTCACACTACACACTTACTCAATGATTACATTCAGGCACACTTTAGAATACAACCTCTTTGGACAATTTATATACTTATTGAAAACAAGCTACAAAATGTAATACCTTGGAGAATGCCGTTTAATACTTTTTAATAGCCTTAATTTTCGCTAAATTGATTTATCAACTTTTAATACTTTTTAAGACCCCGCAGACACCCTGTATATGCATGTATAAAACGTATTTCAATACAATACAAATGTATAGAAGATAATATAACTATATAGTAATTTTCCAAAATGAGAAGATTATAGTTTACCCATGTGTATTCATTTGGCAAAGAGCACCATCTACTGGCAAATATTATTAGAACTCAACTCCAATTTAAAATCATTTCATTTAAAAGTATCAATAAATAAGAAAACGTACTTGTTGACGAAAAACTGTCAAATTTTTGAAGGACCGTTTGGCACACATAAGTATTTTTCTCAGTGCCAGCGACCAGTTGTTGGATCTGAAAAGCATGGCAGCATAGTTGAACATGTTACATCTACAGTAGAGAAGCTTTCAAATCCAAAAAGGTGACAGCATGGATGTCTATGATCACTTACATTGTTGAGGGTTTCTCGAAAGTGATTACATTCTTTGGCTAAAATATCACTGTTAAAACAAAAAGGATAGATTGGAAGATGTCAGAAGTTATTAGGCCAACTTAACCCTTGTGCCCTCCTCGAATTTTCAACCTTTCGACCCCTTCGTGGCAAAAATGTACACGCCCATAATAACTGCTATTAAATCATCATACATCAACATTTCTTTCTACTTTTTTTTTCATGAATCACTTAAACAACTTATAACGTACTCAAAACTACCAAACATTCAATAATTTTCTGGATTTTAACCCTTTAAATGCCTGTTTAATTATTTGAATTATTTCATTATTTATGACAAAAAACACAAAAAATGAATTGTTTTCAATATAATAATTAGTAGAGGGATGGAACTTTGGTGGTTATTAGAGTCTTGGATGTGTCAAAGATTAGCAACAAAATTGATTTGACTGCATTATTATTTTTTACGTAGTATCAGATACTACCTCTGGACACCTTCGTGGCAAAAATGTACACGCCCATAATAACTGCTATTAAATCATCATACATCAATATCTTTTTCTACTTTTTTTTTCATGAATCACATATACAACTTCTAACGTATTCAAAACTACCAAACATTCAATCATTGGCAGGATTTTAACCCTTTAAATGCCTGTTTAATTATTTGAATTATTTCATTTTTTCTTACGAAAAAACACAAAACATAATTATTTTTCAATATAATAATTAGTAGAGGGATGGAACTTTGGTGGTTATTAGACTCTTGGATGTGTCAAAGATTAGCAACAAAATTGATTTGACTGCATTATTATTTTTTACGTAGTATCAGATACTACCTCTGGACACCTTCGTGGCAAAAATGTACACGCCCATAATAACTGCTATTAAATCATCATACATCAATATTTTTTTCAACTTTTTTTTCATGAATCACATAAACAACTTCTAACGTATTCAAAACTACCATTTTCGGTTTCGATTTTAACCCTTTAAACGCCTGTTTCATTATTTTCATTATTTCATTTCTCTCAAAAATGCCTCATTGACTTCCATTCAGACCACATTTGTTGATCTCACTGCCATTGCAGTATAAAACCATGCATTTTGTAATGTCAGCATTTCATTTAGAAGAAAAGTAGTGATATTTGATATTTCTACTCTATTCCAACAGATTAAACCATTTTCCCACTGTAGGCCGATGCATGACATTCTTACATTTTTGCCAGTTATATTATGGAGCCGTGTGACTACCAGGGGGCCCCGAGAGTGGTGTGTGTGTGTGTGTGTGTGTATGTATATGTATATGTATGTGCGTGTGCGTGTGTGTGTGTATATGTGCGTGTGTGTGTGTGTGTATATGTGCGTGTGTGTGTGTGTGTGTCATTTCCAGCAGCAGACTAGCAGGTCCTGCAGCATGTGACCTGGTGCTCTCTCAGGTGATAGAACAACATTTTTTTAGGCCTGTGCACAACCAGCACACACCATTCCTCCCTCTCCGTGTGTGTGTGTGTGTGTGTGTGTGTGTGTGTGAGAGAATCTGTAAGCATGCACAGATCATTTCATGGGAACAAAAGGCCATCTTTTGAGGGATGTGTTTGATGTGTCTTTGAAGAGCTGCTTGATTACTCAAAAACAAAAAACAACTGTTAGTGTGTTTATGCACCTGGCTGCCAAAGATAAACATGCAGTTTGACCAAGGGCTTATTTCATTAGTGAGCAGAGAAGGAGAAAGACCTGGAGCAAAGAGAAGGAACTCAAATGAAGAAGCTTTTCAGTGCAGAGGAGACTTCAGAAATAATCTTGTAGCCTTCTTCTGCCAGCGAGCTGCAGGACTCATCTGAAGAAGACACAAGGTTCGAGCTGGGGTCTGACACTGAATGCTCTCTGGAGTCCAGCATTTCTTTGAGTTCCTCTGACCCTTCATCTGAAAGTGGAGAGGACACTGAGGGTCCGGCCCACAGTGAGGGGACAGAGAAGAACGGAGGTCGTTCTCCCAGGAGCTGGGGAAAACCAGGGTGTCCTCACAGATTGTGAGAAGAAAGCCCCCCGTGGTGGTGGATGGTGGGCCGGACCCTCAGTGTCCTCTCCACTTTCAGATGAAGGGTCAGAGGAACTCAAAGAAATGCTGGACTCCAGAGAGCATTCAGTGTCAGACCCCAGCTCGAACCTTGTGTCTTCTTCAGATGAGTCCTGCAGCTCGCTGGCAGAAGAAGGCTACAAGATTATTTCTGAAGTCTCCTCTGCACTGAAAAGCTTCTTCATTTGAGTTCCTTCTCTTTGCTCCAGGTCTTTCTCCTTCTCTGCTCACTAATGAAATAAGCCCTTGGTCAAACTGCATGTTTATCTTTGGCAGCCAGGTGCATAAACACACTAACAGTTGTTTTTTGTTTTTGAGTAATCAAGCAGCTCTTCAAAGACACATCAAACACATCCCTCAAAAGATGGCCTTTTTTTCCCATGAAATGATCTGTGCATGCTTACAGATTCTCACACACACACACACGGAGAGGGAGGAGAGGTGTGTGCTGATTGTGCACAGGCCTAAAAAATTGTTGTTCTATCACCTGAGAGCACCAGGTCACATGCTGCAGGACCTGCTAGTCTGCTGCTGGAAATGACACACGCACATATATACACACACACACACACACACACACACACACACACACACACACGCACACACATACATATACACACACACACACACACACCACTCTCGGGGCCCCCTGGTAGTCACACGGCTCCATAATATAACTGGCAAAAATGTAAGAATGTAATGCATCGGCCTACAGTGGGAAAATGGTTTAATCTGTTGGAATAGAGTAGAAATATCAAATATCACTACTTTTCTTCTAAATGAAATGCTGACATTACAAAATGCATGGTTTTATACTGCAATGGCAGTGAGATCAACAAATGTGGTCTGAATGGAAGTCAATGAGGCATTTTTGAGAGAAATGAAATAATTAAACAGGCATTTAAAGGGTTAAAATCCTGCCAATGATTGAATGTTTGGTAGTTTTGAATACGTTAGAAGTTGTTTATGTGATTCATGAAAAAAAAGTAGAAAAATATATTGATGTATGATGATTTAATAGCAGTTGTTTGGGGCGTGTACATTTTTGCCACGAAGGTGTCCAGAGGTAGTATCTGATACTACGTAAAAATTAATAATGCAGTCAAATCAATTTTGTTGCTAATCTTTGACACATCCAAGAGTCTAATAACCACCAAAGTTCCATCCCTCTACTAATTATTATATTGAAAGAAATTCATTTTTTGTGTTTTTTTTTAAGAGAAATTAAATAATTCAAATAATGAAACACGTTAGAAGTTGTTCAAGTGATTCATGGAAAAAAAAGTTTAATAAAATATTGATGTATGATGATTTAATAGCAGTTTTTATGAGCGTGTACATTTTTGCCACGAAGGGGTCCAGAGGGTGCAAAATGCATCACGAGAGTATACAAAACATGTAAGAGTAAACGACATTGGATTTCAAAAATTTGACTCAAAAGAAGACTTCTTGCAAAGATCCATGCCAAAAGCTGTAACACAGCTGAAATGATTACCAAATCAAAAAAAAAAGTCAGGAAAAATGTACAAAAATGCCCGAGGAGGGCACAAGGGTTAAAAAAAATAATAATAATACCACAAGTATAAATAAAAAGTGTGTTGCATGTAGCTACGGACCTGTCAGTTTGTTCTTTTGCCCTTTTCTTGTCCTCTTCAAACTTATCGAGTATCCCCAAAGCTTTGCTCTTGTCCTTTAATTCTCCAAACAAGAAAGGTTTGGTGTGATAACTGCTTATAAACTTGGGGTCACTTCCCTAAAAAAGAAAAATTAAAACAATATGAGGTTTATAGATACACAAGGCAGAAGTGATTTCCACATCATTTCAGTAACAATAAATACGTCCATATGAAGGTATGATAACAAATAAAACATTTAATTGAAAGAAACAGGTTGCCTCCTGAATTACTGCATTCACTTATGGTGGTCCATTAAACTGTAATGAAATGCCTCAATGTCATTCATTTTGCAATATAAGAACAAATGTGCTTGTTACTAACAAACAATATAGCAAAGATGCAGTATATACTGACATACTACCGATTTGAATGAAGGTGCCTGGATCTTTCTAATGAAATTAGATGCACATCTTTTTTTAAACTCTTTTTCACAGAACAACACACCTGCAAACTTCCCCATCAGACCCATTACTTAACTCACTTATAATTAATAGTAAACTGAGTGTAACCTGCGTAAGTAATAATGCCACTAAACCAGATGGATTTGTCCATTCATTTTGGGCCTCAAAGATATCACTGCTTCACCAACAACCACTTGTAAGATGATAAATCTCACCTCCTGTGAACTTTGTTGGGAGTTCCTGGATGACAAACTCATTTCTTGAGACATGCTTTGAGAATTTTCAGGCCAAAACTGAGACCCGAAGAAAAGCTGTGAGTCTGTGAAGCTGGAGTAGCCGCTGGTAGACACATTTCTGTTGATGTTTTGTTTCCAAAAGGTTTAAAGAGTTAAGAAAACACAAACAATGTGATGGTGCAGCAACAATAAATATTTGTTTGTAGAAATAAGGTAAACACAGACAGACTTATACATATTGCTATTCAAACGTAGGGCTTAATGACTAAGTGTTATTACACTGTTAGTCAGCTTAAAAACGATTGATCACAGCTGTGTATAACATTATTCACAGATAAAGAAACAATAGTTGGAAATCATTCTTAAATAGCTACTTTAACTACCTGCTTCCAGTTGGTATGCTCAGCTTCTCCTTTATGTTTCTGATGTTATTCATTGCGTTTGATTACCTGTTTGTAAAGAGAGCAAGTTAGGAGCAGCAGGTGCTGACAGATGTGTATTAGTTAGCCTGTTCACTTAAGTTAGCATAAACGCTTAACTAGAAAGCGCTTCACTAGCTAACTTCGACTGAAGTGGAGGACATTTAAACTTAAGTTACTGTTAACTATTTAGCTATAACACGTAAGCATATCTTTACTGCATGCTAGTCATCTTATTCAGTAGAGTGCAATGGTTTTGGGGATAAATGTATTAAAATGACTCACAGTTCTCCGCGATGAAGAAGAGATGATTAGACCAGCCTTGTAAACTCGCGAGGATTTAAAACTCCCGCCATTTGACCTTCCAGAACGAGGCCGGGCTGCGTTTGGGGACCGTCAGAAAAGTCAATATTTTAGAAGATTTTGTATTTGTTTTTGTTGGCTTAAAGGTGGGGTAGGTAATTCACTTCAGAAATGCTTTTTGTTATATTCCATGGAATGCTCTTAACATCCTGATAGCAATGAATACATGAAATGCTTTGACAATAAATACATAAAAACATTTCATCTGTGGAAGTCGTGGCGCTGTAAAAAGCATGACCAATCATCTGAGCCGGCCCAGCTAAAATAACTGGATGGCCTACCTGCCTGTCAGCCTTCCATCTCGTGCACAAACGTATCTCGTGCCCTCATTGGTCATGTGCCCGTTATTGTGTGTTGGAGGAGGGGCTCTGTAAGGAAGTCTGAAGGAAGGGGCAGATTTTCTTCGGCTGCATACTTTCAAATTCTAGCGCACTCGAGCTGGTTTCTCCATTCTTACCTACCCTACTACCTTTAATCGACATTTTATCCTTTATATATACAGTCTATGATTTTATCCCCACAGCATTTAGACTTAGTTCGTAGTTAGTAAACCAGTCAGCCAGAAAGTCAGTTAACATTAAGATTTGATCAAATAAAATAAATTAATAAAATCAATATTTAATTTAAATAGTATTGTTACATTCACATTCAGAAACATGGGGATATTCAATGTTTCATTTCATTTCTCAGTCATGTATTAAAATATACTTCAATGAATTACATTTTCATTGTTATATATTTGTTCTAGAGTGGGCCTGTTATGATGCAGCATAATTATAAATCAGCCTCAGTCTTTATTGTTATTTAATGGTTCTTAAAGCAATTCCTGAACACCAATCAATTTGCTATTATTATTATTATTATTATTATTGCAACCTTCAAATAAGTTTTTCCAATTCATAGATCCACATCTTTTATTCACATAAATACCTGTAATTTTATTTTGAAAATCGTACCCGGAAGTGTGCATGCTAAATGAAATCAGGTAGCTACAGCAATGAGCTACGCACTGACAGTCTGTGGTTGAATTGCAGAGGTGTGTTGATGACAAATCTGCCAAACTATCAGTGACTTTCTAAAAAAAGACCTCTGCGGCGAAACCGATCTGAATCTGATTACACCACATCAAGGAGTTTGGTCAGGCCAAAGCCTAGGGATTGGCAGGTGAGTTAACTTTTAGTTATGTGCTGCTGCTCTGTCTGTGATTATAAAACAGATTTGAAGGGATAAGTCAGTGAATCTACTTCTCTAACGCTGGCATCGTAATGTTATCTCTGACCGAAGACTGAACTTCCTCCCTGTGACAGGTGCTAGCTAGCTAAACACCTTGCATGTATCCTGTGTAACTCAAATGACGTTAGCACACTACATGCAAATGACTGAGACATTCAATATGTTGGTTAAAGCTCTAACGTTACCAATACATTGTGTTGCATTAACAATGTAGTTGTAAAAGTTATAAAGAAAAGATATACAGGAATGAGAGCTCTGTGTGTATTTAAACTAAGGTGTGTGTGTGTGCATCTCTAACGTTTTAGTTAGGATGCAACATCAAACATATGTTAAACCTATTCTCAGCCAAAAGGTGATTTTAACCTATAATTATATTGTGACATCAGCAAAGTTAAAGGGACAAAGTGTGGGCTGATGCATGGCTCCATGCTTCAAATAAACAGGGGGCAGCATTTCACTTCTACTACTAATTTTGTGACATTTTAACATTATTTAGGTGCAGGCTTTGAATAAGGCCAGTGGGTTTTCTGGTTCTTCCTGCACTGTATATCCTTTCTTTACTTTTCCAAGTTTTGTAAATTGGGTGCATAAAGATAAACTTCAAATGTAACTACTCAGTCCATATATTTTTAATTTAGTCATCAGTAATAAGAAAAGAAAATAGAAAAACGGCAACTACTAACAGCAGAGCACAGATATGTAAAATTAGACCAATCTATTGCATACCGTGTATATAACAAACCAGTGAAATTGTGTTGTTTTTTAGCACTCTTCTTTTAATAGGTAAATGTATCTGATCTCATCAAAGTCAGTGAGGTGTATTTAATCAAGTCTGTTTGATCTTGTAGGCATTGATTATGGCTCTGTCGTTCCTTCTGGTCTTGGCTGCAACTGTGATTCTGATCAGACCCGAGACACCTGTCACTAAGGTAGAAAACGGATGTTACTCAGCCAAAGAGTTAATGTGTGCTTTTCTCATGAAATACTGATTTGTTAATCTGTGAATGTGGTTTGGTCCGTAGGCTTTACATCAGAACTCGCTTGAGTGCTGCAGCGAGAAACAGAGAGGGAACAATTCATGTTCGAATGACACCCACTGTGAGCCAGGTAATGTTTTCGAGCTTTGAATCATCCTGGCACACATACCAAACTGTAACTTTGAGCTACACTTTTTAACTTTACTTTTATTTTATCCTTTTCGGTTAGAGATAAGCAAGAGTGAAATGATACTCTGCCCATAAATGTGTGTATCACTATATTGATATGTATATATTTCCTTTCTAGTTTGTACTCCTTTGCAATGCTTCATAACCTTGCAGCCTCCCAGTACATATCCGGACTGCTGAGTCTATTGAACTTTTTAAATCTCAGCTAAAAACTCACCTCTTTGCACTGGCTTTTAATACTAGTTGAACATTACATTTTTACATTTGTATGTGTTTTAAAAAAAAAAAAATTTCTAGTAATTGTGCTTTTTATCATGTTTTTAATTATTGTTTTATTATTGTACTCCCATTGTGTTATTTCATATTTATTGCCTGTACAGCACTTTGGTCAACTGAAGGTTGTTTTAAATGTGCTATATAAATAAATAAAGATTGAGATTGCAACATAGGAATTTCCCAATTTGGGATCAAAGTTCACAGAATTTTATATAGAATTCATATTTTTTCAATGTCAGTCTATGTGCTGATGTGTTACCCTTATGCTTAGCAATGTGTGAAAAAAAGGAATTCATTTTAAACTGGCTAACAGTTTTAGTGGATAAACAAAATATTTAAATGTCAGCAACATATACTGTATTTGTGGATGTACCATAAATACAGTATATATTGAAAAATGTAACATAATGTGTAAAGCATGTATCTTTTTTGTTGTGACTATTACATTGCAGAGTGGCCATGGTACAAAAGGACAGGAAATGGGATTTTTCTTGTTTTTTCTTTTCAGGATGCTTCTTGCGTGTCCTTGAGAACAGCAACACTGTCTGCATATTCTGTGACTCAGCAGCTGTGGATTTGGATAACATAACAGTCTGCACCTACAGTAAGGACAAGGCCTGTTTTCAAATAAATAAAATGTCTGAATGTAACACATTTATTTTTTAAATATGCCCTTTTTGTGTGCTCACTAGACTATACATTGGAGAGGAAAAATCACACAACTGTAACCACTGTCATTCCAAAAATTGGTAAGATATCTCAATCCATTAGCTTAAGCATATTATTTGTTTCTTGGCCTATAAGAATATATTTCTAAAGTTTAAATTATACAAAAACTTCTGCAATTTCAGTTTTAAGTAGATGTCCTTTAAATTGAGTAAATGAACCATGGTTAAGGCTTTTATAATCCGTTTGTATTATTATCACTTTGAAATGTAAGTTAGATAAAAGAACCCAGTTCCACAGGTTACAACCTCTGTGTGATGTAATAGTAAATAGCTCCAGCATCTAATATATTCAGAACCTTTCTCACAAATCATTTAGTGTGTTTTCTAATATTTCTCAACAGGAGGGCCAGGTGTGGCAGCCTCTCTTCTTCTGGGAACACTGTTGATCAGCCTGTTCCTGATCCTCTCTGTTGCCTCCTTTTTCTACCTCAAACGCTCCAACAGACTCCCAAACATCTTCTACCGCCGCAACAAAGGTAAGCACTACGCCGCTCTGAGAGACTGTAGTTATGCAAACAAAGTGCAACCCACCACACCCATTAGATCAAATATAATAAAGCATGTACACACAATGTTACTGCTACGCTCCAGTGATAATACCTGTCTTCAGTCAGCTAAACTGAAACATAACAATATCTTGTGCACTTTACAGCCTTCATATTCCAACCAAGTGAGACAGTGAGTACATTTGATGTTTCCTTCACAATGTTTGATTTTATTTTTCATATCCTCAGGAATGTCTTGTGTCTTGTAGTACAAAGACATATCTGTGTTTTTTTCTCTTCTAGGCTGTAATGATCCCCTCCTCGACAGGTAAGACGACTTCACTATCTTAGTGAACAGGGCCTGAACTTCCTGCTTTGATTCTCTGACCCTGCTGAACTGGTTGTAAGCTTATTGAAGCTATGACTGGAAGCAGTGCAACAGTAAAAGGGATTATTTAGCAACATTGTAGACAAGTGTTAAATATATGAAAGCTGATGACAAGCTTGAATTCACAAACGAAACGTGATCAAAGCATACAAATCCAGCTAGGAGTTATCTCTGCTATTAGTGTCTCCAGTGCTTGTCTTCTCCTGTTTTCATCAAAGGTGATTTATGTAGCCTTTTGTGTTGTGTTTCTTTTGAAGTGAGGAAGCCAAGATATGTCAGAAGGGAGCGGCCCGCTGCAACCGCCGTACCTACCACATCCACCACCCAGGTTTATAATGTGTAGGAGGAGGAAGAGTAGGAGGAGGGGAGGGAGTGCTGGTAGGAGAGAACGCTCAGGAACGATGTAAGGTTTTCTTCTTATCATGTGAAGGTTCAGCAGTGTGAAGAACACCAGGTGGCTTGTACTGTACGTAGGTAGCCATATTTAACTGAAGCTGCTTATGCTGCATTATTGTCACTCGGGCTGTTACTTTTCCTCTATTTTACAAGAGTGTGGGCTGTATTAAAAAAGCCTTCTTGACACAGTCTCTATGACTAATTTATGTTAAATGTGTTTTTTTTACAAAACTAGTTTCAGTATTTCTCTGTACGTTTTAAACCTTACAGGCTGGTTTGTGTTTATTTTACACAGGCATGCAGCACTGTAGGTTCACTCCGTTTGTTTTTACAAGTTAACACTGTTATTATCCATCTGCTGTTTGAACTGTGTCATCAGTTTACTTATTTGGATGGTTTCGATATGTGGACCTGTCGAATTAAGAAATGTTTTGACATTAAGCTTCTTCTCATCTTATTGACATGTGTTATCTCTTTTAAAATGTGTATAACAACTGACATGGGAAAACTTTTCCACTTGGTACGGGTCCCACTACTTGTGAATTATCGCTTTTACACTTTGGTTTTTTGATTTATCGAACAATATTAAAGTTGTGATGAGAGCTTAAAGGTGCTGGTGAGCAGATCTGTTACCTTCAGACAAAGCCAGGCTAGCTGTTTGCAGCCGTATGCTAAGCTACGCTAACCGGCTGCTGTCTATAGCCATATTTCTAACAGATCTGACAGTGGTATTGATTTTCTTATCTAACTCACTGCAAGAAGGCGGATAAACTTATTTTTTCTAAGGTCCAACTACTCCTTTTAAAGCAAAGAACTATAAAGCCAGTGACCAAGTGACAGGGCTTTTTTAGGGGGGGGAACGTGACAGCCCAGTGACATTTTATATTTTGCTAAATAGAATGTTATTTACATGTGTGATATTTATTTACATTTTGTAAAGTGCACTGAGGTTTACTGATTACAATCAGACCAACAGAATATATGATGTGTCAAATAGCGGGGTATTTTAGAGCGAGTTACTAAAGGCACTGTATGGATGAATGTGTTATTGCTTTAGTTTTTTTATTATTGCATTTGTATTTGTTGTTTTTGTGAGCTTAATCAAGGTGAATGTATTACTCATGAACAACGGCATTGTGCATCGCATCATACATTTTGTTCCACAACAGACCCAGTCAAATATGAAAGAGTTGAAGAATTTAAAGTTCATATTTTTATATAGGAAGGACTGTGATCTGACATTTAAAATGCATATTTTTGTCCCTAAAGTACATCTAGATTCCAATAGATCTCTTTCCTTTAGGAATATAAAATTACTGAATCCTCGTGCACTTTATTCATCTGAGGTCATCCTTTTAAAAGAAAATCTCAAGACTAGTTGCCACCAAGTGTGATTGTGATTTGTGTTGTTGTTGTATGGATGGCAACATATTGCTGCATTTTGAATTTTACTTGACTTCTATTAACTTTTTGCCAAATGTTGTCTGAAGAAAACTGTGTGCCATTACTGTGATTACTGTGCCATTATCAGCTTTAAAACAGCCAGGAAACATTTAAGAATGATGTGAGGAATAATTGGGTATTTAAATTATATCCAGTGGCCTTTACTGTACACTATCCTAAAACGAGGCTAGATATCTAAGTTTTATTTGCTATTTAACTACATATATTTCTGTATGTTGACAACACTAAAGCAACATGAAGTGAACCAGATAAAAGGCAGCAATCATTCCATGAATATTCCCCTTTTTGCTTGATGTGTTTGACTTACAGACAAACATTAGCTTGAAACATGTACATATTGTTTTATACAAATAACGTATTGCTTTTGTAATGAGGTAATGTACATATTCTAGTTTCAATGCCATGCAGAATTATGTTTGGAGAAATAAAGCACCTTTCCATAACCATTGTTTCCCTCAGTTAAATGAACTCACGCTGCTGTGTTTTCATATCGTTCAAAGACTAATTTAAAAGTTGTTATGTTTCTTTTATGATTACTGCTGCTAATAAATAAAGAGAATAAATAATTCCTAACTGTGTGCCAGACATTCATTTATTTTTACATGACTGACAAGTTATTCTGCCAATCACATTATAATTGTATTGTTTTATTAAACAATTGAGAAACAAAGGTATTACATGTCTTTATATTCACTTGTGGTCAGCAAGGTACTATCATTATCTCTATGTAAATAGATAACATACACATGTCTTCCTTCTCTGATAGGGACGCTGGAGAAATATAGCTGTTTGATATTTTATATCACAATGCTGTTAAGGTTTTAGGGAGGATTTTTATATATATATATATATATATATATATATATCTTTGCTATCACACATACCCTGACATGATCTAAAGACAGACTGGCAAATGTGTTCAAAAATATTTAAAGTAAGACCAGTTAATTAAAAAAAAAAACTACTAATTCTACACTTGTGTTTTTGATTTCAAAGGGTTTTCAAGTACTTCTGTGTAAGAATTGAAACAAAAATTAGATGGTTAAATTCTCTGGGATTTTAATGACGTACAAAGTTTTGTGGATGAATCTCTTTTTTTTTCTATGAGAGGGAAGTAGCATGAGTTGATATTTAAGATGTCTTAAATAAATGTGAATTATGTATAAATATCCATGATCCATCTGCAATGTGGCATGTGTCCTTGCACTTCTACAGGGTTATAATGGAATGTATTTTGGGAGTCACCTCTAATGACTGTAAGAGGGCTTGTATTTTTAAGGTACTGAAATGTCATACCTCTGGTAATAGAGGGACGGACGACTGCAGCTACATGTGACTGGACATACTACTCTATTTATAACAGTCGAGTGCAAGGCCCCGGTCTGACATACACAAGGGCAGACGGACATCAGAGCTGAAATGCCCCTGCAGGGAGTAAGAACTGACACCTCAAAGTGGACGCTTCGTCATTCTGTAACAGGTAGGACTTTGTACTATAGAAACTAAAAAACATAAACGTTCTTTAACGATATGCTTCAAGTTGATTATGTAATTGACTAGACCTGTAAACGACTTTGACGCAGAGCAAGTGATCCTAACAACTCCACACCTGAAAAATAACATTTAAACTGTATTTTAAACAATACTACAAATGTGATCAAGTGCTAAATCTAAGGTATTATAAACATTGCATCAGTGACCCTCACTGAGTATGTTTGCTATGCTGATACAATATGTTGTGTCCTGACATTGGACAGCTGAATTTTTCATATCAGGTCATATGACCGGAGTATTTTGAGATCTGTTATGGCTCTTGTGACTGTAGTACTCTGGTAATGCTTAGCTGCCCTCTCAAGCTTTGAACTAACTCAGGAGCATGTTAGATTTCTGAGCAACAGTTTGCTATTGACAGCTGATTACAAGCAAGGTTAAACTCCTAACCAACGCTCTATATTTAGCTCAAATTAGTTGACGGAACTTCAACTATAACTCAGTGGGGATACCAAGGATGTACTGCAACACATTGCATTGGCCTATTCAATATACCTAAATATGCAACCCTCCAACATTGATCTTTTGTCTTCTTCTTTTCAGATTCAGGAGCATGTGAGATCTAAAATGGATGATTTGGATCACAGCATTCACATTGCAAACGATGACTGGACCAGCTTCTATGAGGAGTGCGAGGAGTGTGGTCTGGTGCAGCCTTCGCTCGCCTGCCCTGATAGCTGGAACCTCAGTGATTCAGAGGAACTGGGCAACCCAAGCTCAGTGTTCAGCGCAGGCCATCAGGAGCCAGAGCAGAGCTGTGCTGCAAACAGTGATGGAGCTGAAGGCAGTGCTGCAGGATGCTGCATGGAGGAAGAGAACTGCACAGATTGTGTGAAGTCTGTATCAGTGCAGGTTGTTCAGTGTGGTTCAGCAGGAGGACAAGAAGAAACTAAAGCTGAAGCAGGCCTTGGTAATCCTGAAGAAAATGCCTTCAACACAGCAGAGCACATCGAAGAGGAGAAACATGCCAACATCAAAACTACACTGCAAACTGAGCAACTAAATGTTCAGTGTTCAGAGGGAGAATCATCAGAGCTGAAAAGAGGAGATGAAGCTGTGCAAATTGAGACTGACATTCATGACCTCATATCCACACAGCAACCTGACCCCATTTCCTACAACCTAACAGAGCTAAATGTAAATGAGCCGATCACTACAGACAGATCTGTGAGTGAGGATGTGAGTGAGGATGTGAGTGGTTTAAGAGCAGAGAAAGAGCGCTGGTTTGTGACAGTGAACGAGAGTCCTGCACGACAGGGAGTACGTGCTGCCTCTGTGAAAAAAAAACGAAGACAAAAAAGAACTCGTAAGGAGAGATCACTTGAAAACCACTGTAGGTTAGAGACGACAAAAGATAATAATGAATGTGAAGTAGACCGTAACTTGGTAACAAAATGTGCTGAACCAGATTCTGAGAGTGTGCAGATGGGAGTCATTTCAGATTCATCGCAATTGTCTTTAACTTCTGATGAGGAAGACAATTTGTCAGAACAACTGGTGATGTCTCCTTCCCCTAAAGACAATATCATTGAGCCAACTGTAGAATCCAAATCAAACAACAGAATTACACCCAGAAAACCGATAAAGTTAGACAGTGTGGAGTCTGACGTATATGAAGACGGTGTTGAGTTCTTCTCCACTCACAGTTTTGACTCTGAAAGCTATCTGTCAGCTACCGAATCATGGGAGGATCTTCAGCATCTTCTCAAGGAACACCAACAACTGCAACGCTCGTTATCTCTGGCAGAAAACAGCTATCTATTCAATCTGACTGAGATTACCGAGGCAGACAACACGCAAGTTAGAGAAATGCTTTCTTATGATGGCACTCTCTCTTTTGATGTACCAGCTTCTAACTGTGAAGGTCATGAAAGCACCGATGTTCAGCCATCTGCTGGGCAAAGTGCAGACAGAATGCCAGATGACATCTCCACATGTGATAACCAAACACACAGCACGCTTCCTGCACCTACACCTGGACTCCAAAAACAGGAAGTAAATCATTTAGCATCTGGTGGCTCTTCAGTAAATCAGCTGCTCCACATTCCTGATTTAACTGTAACCCCTTGCCCTGTGGCCGACAGCCCTGAAACATACGCCGAAGCCGCGGGACACACTCGACCTGTGTACGCCATTTCTGCTTTTTGGGATGAAATGGAAAAGTTGACGATAAATGACATTTTGCAGCTCAGGATGGGTAGAAGCACCCCTCCCAGAGATACAGTCACACCAAACGCAGATGATCACGGCCCTTTACTCGACACAGTGGAGTGTCATTTGTCTGATGGTGTTCTGATGGATACATCTGACACTGCTGATTCAGACTATTTCACACAGCCCGACGAATCCAAGCGCGATCGTTCAAGCTGCGAGTTCTCCACGTCCGATTTTGAAGAAGAGTACTGGCAGTATCTTAGCGCCAGTAGGAACCACAGTCCTGACCCTCAAAGCAAAAGACAACAGAGCCCGGGCGATTCTCCTTTCACAGCACATGAGGAAGAGGAGTCTTTAAGCTCTGAAACACCTGTGCCTTTAGAGGACTATGCAGAGGATCAGGAAGCCAGTGATTTAATTTTGAGCAGACTTGGGTTGCCAAGACCGATCACAAAAAGCAAAAGCTTGCAAAATGTATCAGCTTTCAAAACAGAGGATTTATCTTTGCAGTTGTTACTCGGCAATGATGAGAGCAGTTTGTTTCTCAGCAGCTGTCCATCTCTGGAAGAAAATGTGGTTTTAACAGCTATCGACAGCCTGGGAACACAAATACCTGCATCTTTACTGGGTGAACATGATCAGATATCCTTGCCTGAAGTGTTTGAATACCTTTACAGCGATGATAGAACAAACGGAGACTCCCAATGTGTTCAAGTCTATGATCCAGTTGACATCTCAATGGTTCCTGTTTATGACTATTCTCTTTGTGCGTTCAGCGATGAAATGTCATTCTCTTTCCTCTACAATTTCCAGCGCAGTGAGGAGAAACCCATCCCCATTTTCTCTTGTTCTCAGCCCCTCATCAGAGAACTCACATTCCCAAATCCGGACTTTGTTTTCTTGCGCTCAGACTTCGAGGAGGAGGGCGACATCTCCCCATTCAGGATCATGTCTGGCTCTTTCATCAAGGGGGACGATTGCGGGGTGTCTGCCTCACATGGATTTTACAATTGGAAAAGTTTGATGAGGAAGATTCGCTTTCCTGACAAAGGGAGCATCTGGTGCAGTAGATCTGGTGCCACGGTGTTCCCAGATGAGGTTGAGAAGATCACCACGAAGAGTGCGGACCCACCACTCACAGTGCTCACTGCCAGGAGAGGCTCATCTCCTTTTCTGCTGTTTAGCGAGCTAGCATTGCAGAAGAGGGTTTTGGACGCTCTACAGGCAACAAGTACGTCTGAGCTGCTTATTCTCCAGACTGGATTAAAACACACCAGAGCACAATTTATAAAAAATAACCTCCTTTTTTGTTTATTCTTGTTTATGTCTCTTACAGGACAAGAGGGCATGTTCTCCTCACTGAAGCAGTCAGATATGTGCATGGTCTGCATCGCCTTTGCCTCCTGGGTGTTAAAATCATCTGATCCTGAGTCTGCTGATGCCTGGAAAGCAGGTATGAAACTTTTCCAGGGCTTCACAATACATCATTGTGAAGTCATCACGATGTCAACTTTTTCTTGCCTTTTGTGTTCAGTTCGATGTATGCATTTACATAATGGTGGAAATAATATTATTTTCTTTATTTAACAAGATATTTGTTTTGATTTAACAGTATAAAAAAATGTAACAGAAGGCACTTTTTTTTTATTCAACAATGTTTTTGCATTTTTCTTCGTATTGTACAGCTCTTAACTCCTTGTATTGATATTCTGCTGTTTCAGTCAATAATCTACAAATGTAACTGGTGTCTAAAATACAAACTTTAAAGGCCGTGCAACATCTTTACTCCGTCAGCTTCTTTCTGGGGGTGATGTGCTGCATTTCCTTTTTAAATATCTGATGAGTTTTTGAGGGGTGAACACCTTAAA